TCTCTATCAGGTTCAACAGAACACATGCACACAGTAGTAAAAATTGACAAGAGGAATTTTACATGGAAAATTCCCAGCTCAACGGGATTAAAAACTACGACCTACCCATGTAGGATTTTAACTTCACTACTGAGCAACTTTTAGATTACAACCTATGCAACCTAGTGGCGGAGCCACATTGAAGGAAGGGGTGTCAAGCGACCCCCCTTCGTCGGAAAATTACACTATTTTGCTAGATACATCTTTTATATTATGTATATTTACTATACGTTGACTTCCTTTGACTTTTCGATGTATCTAATTATTTATATTTTGACACCGCTTGATGAAAATTCTGGATCTGCCACTGATGCAACCTAGGAATTAACCTCTTAATCCCTCACTAACTTGTAATACTCTATATATTACAAGCCACTTTGTAATAACTCTATTGCAATGACTTTACAACTCGACTAAATCTAGCCAAGACTCAAACACAAAGGTTTAAGGTTTACAAAGAGTTTCCTACCGAATACTTCTAAACAAGCTAAGTAGGAATTACAATTGAAGAGCTATTACAAAGTTATAACTCAACTAAGGACATACAATGACTTGTTGTGGAGAACTGGTCCGTAGTAGTGTCGTTCTTTGTTCTTGATGCACTTGAGAATTGATTGCTTGATGATCAATGACCGCGAGAGTGCTTGAATGAATTCTCTAAGTGAACAAGTCATTTGTTTTACCTTCCTTGATGTTAATAATACATTTGTGATATCACTTAGGATGATGTAAGCAAGGTAGGTAAAAGACACTCCCAATAAAGTTGACTGCTGCATTGTTTCTGCATTGTAGCGTGTGCAAGCAGCAACTTTACAGCTAGGGCAGTTGACTTGTACAGTTTTCTCGGGAAACGATAATTATCTGTTCTTTCTGTTGTTCCTCTGACTCTGAAGAGTTGAAGCATATTCCAAGCGGGAACCTTTCGATCTTAAGGTCTTGAGGATATGTAATTGAGTTCCTTATCTGGTTCTTGACAGTAAACAAAAACAAGATTATTGTGGTCCGTTATGAAGGTGAAACTGCGTACAATAGGTCCTTGTGATCCGATCCTTCTCCGAACCTTGCACATAGCAAGAACTTAGTGCACCGGGCTTCCTTTTGTATCACAACTCACAAGATTATTGCGGTCCAATTTGAAGGTGAAAATTTTCAGGCTAAACTAGATTTTTTAATAGAGTAACACTTTCCTGTGATTTGCTAATATGTTATGTACCAAATAAAGTAAAAATTTGATGTTTGTTGCTCGTAATCTCTTTATAGCAAAGTTAATCTATTAGGTAATTAAACTTTGACGTAGACATGATGCATTTTTTTGGGGGTCAAAACAACACGAGCTAGCCAATTTTTGGACTAGTAATTGAAACATAGGTATCATTTGCAAAGTCACTAAACAATAGTCACTATTTTATGTGGAAATAAACTCTGGACAAAAATACCCTAGCTGAAACACAAAAAGTTCCAGCATAATATGTTGGATGGAGCTCCTACTTATAAACTTCCAGCATATTATGTTGGAACTCCAGCACATTATGAAATTCCATCATATTATGCTGAAATCTCATATGTAACAAATTCGAACTCCAGCATATTATGCTGAAATTTTTCCGAATTTATAAGTTTGTGTTTGTTCAGATTTTATTTTTACATGAAAAAGGGACTAACTTTCAATTATTTTTGAAACTGCAGCTAATTTTCAATTACTAGTAATTATAAATCAGGCTCTTTCTAAATTTTCTGCAATTTTTAAGGATTGCACAATAAGTTCAATAGCAAAAGAAGGAACAAGTGGAGTTGGAGGATCAATCACAGCACAAGGAAGGAATTCAGAGACTGAGAAATCTGGATTTTCATTTGTGAATTGCAGAATTATTGGCACTGGAAAAGTGTGGCTTGGCCGAGCTTGGGGCGCTTTTGCTACTGTTGTCTTCTCCAACACTTATATGTCTGATGTGGTTTCCTCTGATGGCTGGAATGATTGGAGAGATCCTACTAAAGACCAGTAAGTGGTAATTTTAACTTTTCCAAATTCTGCATATCCCTCTTGCGTGACAACACCCCCCCCCCCCCCCCCCCCCCCCC